AGCCGAGCACGGCCGCAGCAGACATCAACACGCGCGAACACAAAAACCCGCGTACGAAGCCAACGGCGTCGACTCAACCTGTACATACGCATTGTAAATAGCCATCTAATCGACAATATATATTATTATACTATCCATCCCACTGTCTTCACGATTATTGACATCTGCTCGAATCCGGACCACACCGACTCGCAGCTGATCCCGCACGGAACGCGAAATAGCGTTACAACCTTGTAACGAGCGGTCCGTAATACAAAGATAGAAGGAACCGCGAAAACGTTAAAATCATATATACGAAACGACTCGTCACGAAAACAGAACCCGCGACAAACTAATGTAAACACCGCCGACCGACCGCGAATAACACAATACTAGAGCAGGCTAAAATTTAGTATAAAAGACCGCGCGAAAAGCCGAGAAAGGAGCAGTCTTCCGAGACACTCCGCTGAGCAGAGATAAGACTCCGACAGCAGCAGCGCCTCGCAAACATCGCTGCCTGGAACACCGCATCCCAGACCTTCCTCATCACCGCTCCGTCGATTTGTTGGAGTCGTAAAGTCGACATCCGCGTAGACTTATTGGATTCGTAAAGTCTACATCCTTGATTACCTCTCCGTCGACTTATTGGATTCGTAAAGTCGACATCCGCGTAGACGTATTGAATTCGTACAGGCTACCGCTCCGTCGACTCGTTGGATTCGTAGAGTCGACACTCGCGGAGACTTGGCGCCGTGACGCTAGCCGCCGCCGCAACCACTAGAATCTCCGTGCGGCGCCGTTAGGCGGCACGCACAGGGAGCGGTTTTCGCGCGAGAAAATCATGATTAACAGACAATAAAAAGCCGAACTCCGCGGGAGGTCAACACACTCTTCCGCTCTGGCTATCTGTAGCAATTGGCCGCAGCTAGAAAGTCATCGGCCTCGGCTAGAAGCCACATCCGCTGTGAAAGTGGCACCGACTCTCCTGACGTTGAAGAAGCGTCACAGCAGCCGCATTCGCTGGAGAAGGGGCATCGAGACTCGCCGACACGCAAGCTGGCTCCCTCGCCCATTGCCTGGGAGTCGCCGGAATCTCCATCACCGGCCGCCTCCACAACGGGTACTATTACCCCTGTGGAAGTTTCGAGTCGCCTATATCCCGCAGCGACCGTTGACACAGCCACCAACAACGACTCTGGCCCTGGGAGACTCTTGAGTGAGACATCCAATGTCTCCACGATTCTCTCCCGAGGACGACCCCCGCACTCACAAGGAAAGACGGAACATATCCGACCAGAGCCCCAGGAAAAGGAGGATCTGGAAGAAGAGGAGCCCACAGAATAAAACGATTTAATGCAACGGCCCTCAGAACACTTAAAGGAATTAGACTCACACACACACACACACACACACACACACACACACACACACACACACACACACACACACACACACACACAC